GACAGAGACAGAGACAGAGACAGAGACAGAGACAGAGAGACAGAGACAGAGACAGAGACAGAGAGACAGAGACAGAGACAGAGAGAGACCTCTCTACACCGAAGGGGGCACAGCTACAGCACGGCACTTAATACGACCCGCGTCCACCCCCCACCAACCCTGTACCATCGGCGTAGATGTGCGTCTTCGCATCTTCGTCTTCTTCTTGTCATGCTTACCTATACAAGTCAACTTCTGCACGTTCGCAACGACCATCGCGTCTTGCATTGCTGTCAGTTCATGGCGAATGTTGCCGTGTGGTCACCAGTGAACGGGGAGCTGTGCCGCTTGGCTGTTCCCATCGCATCGCCTCGACAAAAGCTGACCCAGCACAACGAATATTCCGCCGCATTTTTTCCCTCGCGGGATCACCCACCACCACCTTACCTCCTCACCAGGTCGTTACAGGAATGCCTTCCGGCAACGATGCAGCAGCACCGGCGCCGGCTCCGGAGGCAACGGAAATTCCTTCTTCTAGCGGAGGCGGAGGCGGAGGCGGCAGCTTCGGCGGCGGCGGGTATGGCGGTGGCACCGACGAATCGAAGCAGAACGACCCCCTAGCCGGACTGATCCCCGAAGCCCCCAAGGACAACCCTTTCCTCAGCCCCTCGCCCACCCACGAAGAAGAAGCAGCAGCGGCAGCCGTTGACGCCACGCCACCAGCTTCATCACCTTACCACCAGCCTCAGCCGTACGGGGGCGGCGGCGGCCCAGGCCCGGAAGCCGCTGCAGCAGCGGGGTACCCGGGCGTGGCCGCCCCGTCCCCGTACGCAAGACCAGGGCCGCCGGCCCCCGAGCCCGCTCCGTACGTGGCGCCCGTGGCCCCAGCCCCCTCTCCCTACGCGGCGCCGGCACCGGCGCCTGCAGCGCCGCGGCCGAGGTACGATCCGTCGACGCGGCCGAGGACGCCCGTGCCGTCCCCGGCCGGGCCGCGGAGATCGGGCAGCGGCGGCGGCAGGGTGATGGAGGGCAACATGGCGGACGCGATGGAGCACTGCAAGTTCGCCTTGCGGGCGCTGGAGAAGAAGGATGTGGACCTCGCGGTGCAGAAACTGCACGAAGCCCTGCAGCAGCTCACATAGTTTTTTTGTTGTGGGTGTGTTGTTATTATTAGCATCGACCGCGCTAACCGGCTGACCAATGAAGAGACGTCAGTCTTAGTGCGGTTGAAAACACAAAACACTTCTATCTGCCATGAACTGGGACCCCGTGAGGGTTGTGGGTGTGTGTGTGTGTGAAGGCCAAAGGCGTGGGAGCTTTCGGTGAAATAGTTGCAAAGGCTTTGTGTGCAGCAGTTACTATAGTTTATGTTTGTGTGTGGGGGGGGTGAAGGCCAAAGGAGTGGGAGTTAGTGCAACAGTTGCGAAGAGGCTCGTTTTGCAGCAGCTCCGACGTGGGAGTTTTCGATGAACAGTTGCAAAAAGGTTGTTTTGCTGCAGCTCACATAGCCTTTTTGGTTGTTCGGGGATGTGAGGTTATAACACGTGGGGGTCTCGTGGTGCAAAAGTTGCAAAGAGGCTCTCTTTTTGGAGCACCTTGTTTTTTTTTTCGGGGAGGAAGCCAACCAAGCAGTATGTGTAGTGCAGCTCGTTGCACCAGGAAGGATCGTGCCTGTGTTTTGGATGTCGCGGTGGGGATAAAGGCGGGGTCGCTCTTGTTCTTTGCTGTTTCTCCTTGTCGAGGTCGTTTTGACCTTCCTCCAACCATGACGGACTCACGCAACTATGCTGTCGCGACGTAAAGTGAACGGTGTGTAAAGTGTGCGGGGGGCTTCCAATGCGTTGTACTTTGTAGCTGGTTCGCCCGATCGTTTGGCCATGAACTTTCGAGACGTAGGTGGGCACATTCCGTTTTCTAGACGATTCTCCCCCATCCTCTGTCGGCGTGGGGTGGGCGGGGAGGACGAAGACAGCGTCGACGTTCTGCGTTAGGCGGAGAAGGGTAAATGGTTGGTCTTTTTTATGCCGTTACGGAGTTGGGCGAAGAAGGTGAACTGGAGGGCTTGTAATCGCTATTATCGTTGGTGTATGTTGACTGGTGTTTTTTTATCTCCACTCCACGCATTTAGCGAAAAAACGGACGGATGCCATTGGCCAGAAAATCGAAGAACGGTTCTCGACCCACTAAAGAAGCGGCACATGGAGGGACAGACTGCATGCAACGAGAGGGCACCCTCTCTCGCTTGCGCAGTCGGCATCCCACAAAGTGAATGTAGTGATGAGCTCCTCCGACTCCCCGTTTGACACTAGACTTTGAAGTTTTTGCGCCCAGCCCTCCGAATACATCGTTAGTAGATATGTGGACTACCGGAGTGAGGAAATCTCCAGCAGCATCACGCACTCCCTGTTATAGTAGTCCATGAATTCATCATGCCACATAACATTTTATCCTTCATTGGGAGACTATGTATAGTGATTACCCAGAGTAGTCTACACCTTGTCCAAAGGGAAGGCATTGTAGCCTCCTTGCACAACGTGGGTTCTCCTCCCATCCTACTCCCGTCGTCGCCTACCTACCCCCCGAATTTTGGGTATCATACCGAGAGGATCCTGATGTCCTACACTACAGCAGTACTACCTACCGCTGTATACCACCCTTCTGTGAATCCTACATAAAGACATCGCCATGCATGCGAAAATGAACGTCTACTACGACGGCGTGTGTGTGAGTGGATACATTCAAAGACGAACGAACACGCGTATCCGGTGGCAATCCATTCTATACTGACTGGTCGCGACGTCTCGGATTGCGTAGGCCTGGGTATGGTCGGGGATCTACTGTAAAGCGGTCGAATGGTCTCTCGTTTGTGCGACACAGGCTAAAGGGCGTCGAAACGTCACTGGTCACGCCGCACCTTCGACGAAAAGCAACAGCAGTTTGTTACGTACGTCTCTTTGAGGAAAACGTATCGGCCTGAGACCTGCCAAATGACCCAAACCAGGGTTATAACCACCCATTTTGTCTGTATAACCTATCCACCTGCCGCTTGCATCACGTGGCGTTGCGCAAACGGGAACCTACTGATGTAGTGTCGATCTGCTGTGGTGTCGATCATATTCTTCTGAGCTTCACTCAAAGCCAGGGACGCCATCTCGACACACAAACCAGCTCGAGAGCCACATATACCGCAGTTTTTACTTGTACAGACTCAAAAAGGAGAGAAGCAGCGGAGGCCGCCGTGAGAAGGGAATTCCTGCCGCTTGCATCACGTGGCGTTGCGCAAACGGGAACCTACTGCTGTGGTGTCGATCTGCTGCGGTGTCGATCTTGTTCTTGTGAGCTTCACTCAAAGCCAGGGACGCCATCTCGAGACACAAACCAGCTCGAGAGCCACACATACCGCAGTGTTTACTTGTACAGACACAATAAGGAGAGAAGCAGCGGAGGCCGCCGTGAGCAAGGAATTCCGAGGTGAGTTGCTAGCGACGTGGAGCTGCTCTGAGAGTGTAGACTAAAAGTCGTCTACGTGGATCCCAGCGAGAGAGACGACAGCAGTACCCAGCCATTCTTTCTCCTGCTCACTGTGAAGACTTCAACCCATCTCGACTGCGATAAATCTTGAACTGGCTTGAAGTCTTGTAGTGATTGCATGTTCTTTCTGAAAACGTGCGCGGTCTTGCATACAAACATGGACTGCATACAGCCGTATATCGTGACTCATTCGACAGGACAAGCCGCCCAAATTATATGCTCTCTATCTGCTTCAAAGGGGGTATTTTCAGTAGTGTCGAGGCCATCATCAATATTACGTACGTGCAACCGCGCACACACCATTCCACAGAAAATAGATTAATTGATTCATTCGTCGTCTTTCTTCTATGAAAAATACGAGCGAAACTGTCTGGTTGAACGCTTTCCCACACGGGAGACGTACATGTCGTTGTATACAGGCCGGTCGTCACACAACGCTGTAAACCCCTTGCGGCATGGATGGATGTTTTCATCGCATCCTGCCTCAACAAACCTGAACGACCCAGCACACACAAAACGTCCGCCGTTTTTGCCCTGGGGGGCGGGGGCAAACACACCTCCACCACCGACATTATTTTTATCACGACGTCGTCGTGGACAGGACGAATGCCTTCCGGCGACGATCCAGCGGTACCGTACCCAGGCGCGACCGCCCCCCACGTGGTTCCCTTTGACGTGAGATCGAGCATCGGCGGCAGGGCGATGGAAGGCAAGATGGTGGACGCATTGGAGCACTGCCGGTTCGCCATCCAGGCGCTGAAATTTAGGGACGCGGATTCTGCGGCTCAGAAGCTGCGAGAGGCTTTGCAGAAGCTCACGTAGTGATATATATTTTTTGGGGGTGGTAACCACAACCATCTAGTGAACCGCCGAGGTCGACCAAGCAGTAGGACGTTGTGCACCCGGCAGGAAGGGTCGTACTTGGGATTTGGGTGCTTATGTCGTGGGTGCCCAGGGGTCTGTCGCTCTTGTTGCTTGCTGTTTTTCTTCATGTTGTTGTGGTCGTTCTGACCTTCCTCTTGCCAGGACGGTTCACACGCAGCATGCCCACGTGGCGTAGAGTGAACGGTACGTTGAGTGGGAGGGGGGTACGGTGTGCGTTGTACTTTGCAAGGAAGCTGATTCGATCGTGTGGCCATGGAGATATTCTAGACAGGTCTTCCCGATCCCCCGTCGGGGTGGGGTGGGGAGGGAGCGTCAACGTCCTGAGTAAGGAGGAGAACGGTAAGTATTCGCTCGATTTTTTTGTGTGCAGGGTTGGGTGAAGGTGTACTGGAGGGCATGTAGTCGGCATCGTTGGTGTGTCGTGACATGGGATTGTATGTTCACTGGTGGGCCTTTTTTGTCGCTGCACGCTTGTAGCGAAAGAGCGAACGGACGCCATTGGCAAGAAAGCGAAGAAAGCGAAGGTTCTCGAGTCAAATGAAGCGGTACGTGGAGCGACAGACAGGCGGCATGAGACGGAAGGTTCCCTCCCTCTCTTCTGCAGTCGGCAGTGACAGAAAGTCGCGAAGTCTTACGTTCCAACTCTTCCTTCCCTTGACGCAACCCTCAAGAATTTGCACCCAGCGTTCCCCCAAAAAACATGGTTGCAACACAAAACATGTTTCCGTGTGGATTTCCGTGTATGTGACGCCACCTGGTACGCCCGAAAGACGCACCCGAACGTGCAAACGTCGACGTGTTCAGAATATGATGATGACTACATGGAGACATATCCTCGACATACGACGTCATAGTATACCTACCGTCTCCCATGGCTCCGCAACGAGGGACTCCGCGCTCTCTCGAACACGCGCCCCCCCCCTTCCTCTTTCCCTGGAGATTGCAGTCATGCACCACCATGGGTTCCCCTCCCGTCCTACCCTCCCCCGTTCTCTAAAATTAACCAGTGAGCTTTGCGTATTATACCAAAAAAAGCAAGGGATCACACCAGTTTGACTGAAGTAAGTGTGTGGCGTTGAGCATACAACCCCCGCGCGCCCTGTGAACCCTCCCTACCCACGAATGCCTGGGACAAAGAACACGCGTGGGAGTCTGCCCACAAAAGACGGAGTTCCCCTTTCAAATGACAATTGTGACACTCATCCGTCGGCACTGACGTTATTTCATCGTCAGCGGAGGAGCGCTGCCCAAGCTAGCAACGAAAGAACGAAATCGCCTTTTCGAGAGAGAGCGAGAGAGTGCGCGCGAGACTCCCCCCGCAAACATACACCAAGTCCCCTCGTCCGCAAGGACTATGCAGCACGGGTGAGGGGCTACTCGCGGGGCAACTAACTGCTCACCGTTCACCCGTGAGTGCTCATATCTTGCAGCTGTCGCGTTTTGGGGGCTCTGTTCTTACACCACAAAGAAATGCGGGTTCGTTCTTGTTCTTAACACAACGTCGGGCCTGAGCACGCACGTGTGTTGTTGTAATTATTAATTTGTCGACAATTTCTTTGATTTTGACATTTTTTCGAGGCCGTATTTCTTAACTGCCAAGTTCTTAAGTGCGAGCGCCATCTTCATCTTCTGATGATCATGATGTAGTGCCGGAAGCAACATAGACAGACATGGGCCTACTCTATTTGATATATATATTGTTGCGTAGAAACACGCACGGCAACGATTGGGGGGCAAAGCAAAGACCGAGAAAAAGAGAGATAAGAGTAGGCGATGATATACTACCTACCTACACACGCTGCCTCTCTCGTAAAAGTCAATAAAACAACACGTACGTACGTCTGTCTCCTTAAAAATATGTAATAATAATAGTGGTAGAATGTAGTATTATTACATAATTATATGATCTCTGCTGAAAACAATTGCGCGCTCAGCATTGTAAAAAAAATCTACACTTCGTATACTTTATGTTGTTGCTGCTGTGGAACATAAAAACTTAGCTGAACAAAACTTGCCATTGAACGATTCGTAATGGAGGACTTTACTCGGAGTTTCTGCTTTAAGCGTGGGGGGGACCGCATTGTACAAGTAAGTGTGCTCTTCTTATCGGCCGCGTGGGTGGTGTTGCCACCATTGTTTCCACCCCTACTATAAAAGCATAGAATTTGGTGTAATAGTCACAGGCTTCAACATGTAGCGTAGCGGTCACCCGTTAGATTTGATAGGCACATGTCGCTGGCTCGATCCACCCCATGTTATGTTTTCGTCACCGATCAATTCGACGTAGAGTTGAGTCATGCGAGATAATGCATAAGTATAACCCACAAGTATGGGTAGAATACAATTTAGCAATTGAGGGGAAGGCTCACACACACGTAGTTTTTTCTTTTCTCCTCCTTCATTCACACCAATCCGCGCACGACCGCTTTCATAACCTGGTACGTTATGCTCGCTCGGCCTGTAACCCCCCCACGTTATCCCATGTAATAACTCCTGGTTGGCCGGAGGGTACACAACGCCCCTGTACAACCGTGCCCACTGGCCACCTGTGACCCACGCCATTACACTCACAACCCTGGGCGGCGGCTTGTCTGACTTACCCCCTCCCCACCACAAACCTGCAACTGCAAATTGACGCGGCGAAGAAGGTTTCTGATAAGTGGAGATTGTCTGCCAACGTTAAGAAGAGTACCGTCATGGTATGTATGCAACGAGAACAAGGAGGAACCAGTTGAACATAGATGGAAGTGGGGGATCGAGGAGATTGCAGTAGTGGACCAGTACACATACCTCGGAGTAGAGATCGCAAAAGACTGCTCGTGGAATGCACAGATGTCCAAGGTAGCGGAAAAGGGCAAAGCACGAGCAGGGAAGCTGCACCCAATACTCGCAAACCGGCACCTCGATACACGCGTCAAATTGAAGGTTTTGAAGAGCGTAATCGTACCGCCGCTAGAGTACGCCGGAGAAGTATGGGAAGGAAATAAGGAGGTAGTGAAAGAACTCGAGGCGGCGCAGATGAAAGCAGCGAAAAGAATCCTAGGATGCTCCAAGCGCACAAGTAATGCAGCCGTCAGGGCAGAATTGGGGATCCAATCCCTACGGTCGGGAAGAGACGCAAGGAAGCTGACATGACAGTATCGCATGTGTGGGATGGGAGAGGAGAGGTTGCCGAGAATTGTATGGGAGGAGAAGTTGGCAAACAAAAAGTGGCGTAGACAGCCCACGGAATGGGTCAAGGATGTAGAGGACGTATGGAAGGGGCTCGACATTGACGAAGATGAAACGCTGGGAACGGAGGGTCTACAGG